TGTGTGTGTGTGTGTGTGTGTGTGTGTGTGTGTGTGTGTGTGTGTGTATGTGTGTGTGTTCTCTACACCATGCTAGGTGCAGATTGAAGGAAAATAGTTAATTATTATATCAACCCCTTAAATTATATTTCCTACAATTCTGCAGTAACAGAGACTGGATTTTTAACAATCTTTTTAGTAATTTTTTGAGTACATAAGTTTATTTTGAGCATAGTTACACCCCTAGCCGCTCTTCCTGTTACCACCCTCTCTACCCTCCCATCCTTGCCCCCTCAGAGTTCTGTTTTCTTAGCCTTTTTCACTGCATTGAGTCCACTTCGTGTTACCCAGCTAGTCTGGGGAGCGGGGCCTGCCCTGGAGTGTAGCAACCTGCAGAGGTCACATCATTAAAGAGAACTGGCTCTCGCTCTCCCGGCAGATATCAAACACCAACAGCTCCTCGGTGAGTGGTGGCATTTTAGTGTCCGCCTTCTCATCTTTGTGCTGGGATCTGTGTAGCTCAAGATCGGCCAGTCTTGTGTGTGTTGTCACAATCACGGTGAGTTCAAATGTCTGGACAAGCACTTCCTGGTGCTCTCTGCCACCTCTGGCTTTTACCATCTGTCTGCCCCTCTTCTGGGTGACCCCTGAGCCCTTTGGTGAGGGACGTGATATGTACATCCCATTTAGGGCTGAGCACTGAACACAGAGTTTAGATTTTTATCCCCACATGAAACAACTTGAGAAGTATAGGAAATGCAAACTCAATGGGACTCAACAGAGAATCCTGGCTAAGGAAACAACCGAGGATTTGGTAAGGCCAGCATCAGCAGAGAGAGCTGCCCAGATTGGAGAGCTCAGATTCCTGCAGAAGGCTAGCCTCGTGCCCAGGTGCTAAGACATGTATATCAGGAATTCCTGAGGCTAGGGAGAGTGCTGCAATCCTCTCAGGGTCCTGGAGGTGCAAAGAGTCCATGTCTTCCCCATCCATGTTCGAGACTCCATGGGGTGCTGGTAAAATTATATCTCAGTTACCAGATGTGTGGGGTGCTGGTAAAATCATGTCTTAGTTACCAGATGTGTGGGGTGCTGGTAAAATTATGTCTCAGTTACCAGATGTGTGGAGTGCTGGTAAAATCATGTCTCAGTTACCAGATGTGTGGAGTGCTGGTAAAATCATGTCTTAGTTACCAGATGTGTGGGGTGCTGGTAAAATCATGTCTTAGTTACCAGATGTGTGGGGTGCTGGTAAAATCATG